TGCAGATCTCACCCGTGCCTCCCGCGGGCCCTGTCTCCCCGGCAGTGGGCCAGGCCGGGGTCTGCTTTCTGCAGGGGGACACCCGCCAACGGCGAGGGGGTCCGGGGAGTTAGCAGACATGCCCTCCAGGGAGTCTCCAGGTTAAAGCCTTCTCTCCTCTCTGCTCTGTCCCTGCCTGGAGGGCCCCCCTACACCGGACAGAGACCCCTCTTTCCTTCGGGCTGGGTGCCCAGGACACGCCCGTCCCCGGGTCCAAAGGAAAGGACCAGGTGCCCCGGCCAGTGATCTCCATGTTCGAGGTTGGCCTGGAATGAAGGGTTTGCAGGTTCCATTCTGGTCCAGGGCGCGGTCCTCATCGCAGGCTCCATCCCCTGCCCAGTCAGGGCACATGCAGGAGGCAAACCAATCGGTATGTTCCTGTCACATCCATGTCTCTCTCTCTCTCACCCTCCCTTCCACTCGCACTAAAAATCAACGGGGAAAAATATCCTCGGGGGAGGATTAACCAAAAACAGGCAGGGCCCGGTGGCTTTCGGGGTGACCCAGGTCTGTGCCAGCGGATGTGCCCACTTGTACCTCATAGTGAAGGAGACACTGGCAGAGGGAGCCCGGGCACCCGGAGTCCGAATCCCGCCAGAGTCCTTTGACCCGGGCAGGCCCTGCAGCACCTCAGCCTCTCCCCGCCCCAGAGGTTCAGGGTATGTTCTCTCACTAGGTTCTGTGTCTAGGTTCTGTTGCCAGTTTCTGTCCAGGATCTTTTGCCATGTTCTGTCTCTAGGTTCTGTGTCTAGGTTCTGTGTCTCTTGGTTCTTCATCTAAGTTCTGTGTCCTGTTGTCTTGTTACATCTGTATTTATACCAGTTGATTCCAGTCCTATCAATCTCTATTCCAAAGGTTAGGGCGTTTCTTATCTCCATTCCAGGGAGTAAAGACTATGTAGCTTAAGCATGATTATTCGTAGTTAAAGTGATTAATTACCCGCCTGGCACTTAGTTAAGAGGTTTTATTCCCTCCCTAACTTCAGGGGAAAATCCCTACCTGGGGAAACAACCTTTCTCGGAGAGGTGACCTTGGTTAAAACACACAGCGCCAAGAAGGTGAGCAAACATATTAAGAACAGTATGCCATATACGCCAGGTCCCTTGAAACAGCAAGGATGGACCGGCTCCCGGCAGGCGGGAGGGGCCGGAAGATGCTCCCAGAGAGGCCGGGAGAGGCCCCAGCTCAGAGGTCCTGATCGCTCGTCTTAATTACTCTCTCCCCGTCTTAGCTGCCTCCTTCTCTCAGCCGTCCACCAAGGAACAGTCGCTGTTCCTTCTTCTTATGCCCAATTGATCACCACAAAGTGCCCGGCTCGCCGAGGACAGGAGAGCGGACGCAGGCGGCCTCAGCCGAGCACAGCCCCCGCCCTCCAGCTTCGTGCCGCCGGCTCCTTCCTTCGCTTACAGCTGTTCCATCCGCACATAAATCGTGTGTCTGGGCTTTTAATACAACATCACGTCCTGGCGAGCTTCCGCACGACCGGGACGCTCCTGTGACCAGTGCTCTCCTGGCTGGCTGCTGTCACGGGGAGATGATGGACGGGCGTCCCTCAGTGACCCAGTGTCCTGGCTCGGCCACCTGGAGGCCTCTGCTCCCCACCTGCCCTGGTCCCCCTCCGCCTCTCAGAGGATCGCCGGGTCCGGGACAGGGGGGTTTCCAGCTATCGGCCTTGAAACCCTCCATCCCTGCCCAGGCCAGGGCCGCCCAGTGGTCCCCCTCATCTTCCCCAAAACTGAGCACCGGCCCTGGGACCACCCCGCCTGCCCCGTAGCTCTATTTGTTCACAGGCAGGAGCAGAGGGGCAGGTGCAAAGGCTCTCAGAGGCTGAGCGGCCGGGGTTCAAGCCGCTCCCCTGGGTCTAGCAGCCAGAGGACCTCCAGCAGGCGGCTGAGCCGACCCCTCCCCCAGGGCGGGAGGCGGGAGGTGCTGTCTGGTTAGAGGAGAAGAGACACGGGAAGACCTGGCACGCGGGAACGGCTCCGCAGACGTCTGTCATCTCTCTGGCATCCGTCCTTCATGGGTGGCGGACCCTCTGAGCCCAGTACCGTCTGGCCAGGGAACAGTTGGCGCCTGAAAAGGGTTCCCATGGGTGAGTAGGAGTTTTCTGGAAGCGGAAAACGGGCAGTCTAGGCCGAGAGCAGCTCCGGCTCCCTCCTTCCAGCCCCTGCGGTGCCGGCCCGGGTACCAGCGGATCAGAAGGGCCTTCCTGCGAGGCTGATAAAGTAGCAACAGCCCCCCACGCCACCCCACCACCCCTGCGCCCACCCCGCCCACTCCCCCATTCCCTGGTTTCCTCACATGCTCACCGCCTGCATTTGCTTTCGCTCTGTGGTCTGCTGTCTCCTCTGGAGGCACCGGCAAGAGGGGTGGGTCTGTCTTGTATCCCCCCACCCCCACCCCCGCACAGGGAGTAGGCGCTCAGTGACGGCGTGTGGAGTGACCG